CGAATTGTAAATTTAGACATCATAAGTTTGAATTTTGACAAATTCTCGGGGGCTAAGCCATGAAAAATATGAATCTTCTAATCTTGACGTGGATGACTTGTCTTTGACCAGATCAAGGAAGGAATTAGCCAAGATATGCGTAAGCTAGTTCGGACAGTCCTGTTTGAATTTACACATACGCATACCTCAGCTAATTGCTTATGCACAAAAAGTCCGGTTTGAATTTATCTCTTGTGTGTGGATTAATCGAAGATCCACTTATGTATTAAGAATTAATATATTATTGAAAAGCCTTGAAAAATATACATATTGAAGTGACTTCAAACCCTTTAACCTTGGAAGAAAGATATCTTTTTCTCAAGTGANTTCTCCTCTCTCAAGGAACTGACTTGATCGTCAGAGGGAATACGCCGAAAAATACTCCGGCGCCCTTCTAACCTATTTTTCTTTGTTCAAGGAGCCTCCCTTAACCTCCCAGGATCATTTAGGTGACTCATAAAAATGATTCATTATCCCTCCTTAGGCCACCTTCGGCCCTCACAACCGGTCCCAAGTAGCAAGATTGACCACTCGATCGACGGACACGTGTTCATCACGGAAGAGATCTGTTCTTGTGTTTATATTATGCAGGATTGTGCACGCACAGTTATTAAGATAAAAATACATAAACTAGTTTAAACATGCTTTGAGCATGACCAAATTTCAAAGTATATGCAACTATTAAAACAAAATTCCCACAACTAAAAGATAAGTTGAACTCGAGCTACTGATCATGTTCTTTATATATATATATATATATATATATATTTAAATGAAGAATCATCCCAACTACAAATGCACACTATCACTTGTAAATTACAACTGAACACGTAATCTCGTGAACTTGACGTGCCATCTTCACTCTCTTAATTAAGTGGGTAGGTTTTCACATTTAATAACATTGAAAATTACATTCACTAAGACTTTTAAACATTGACATATCAAGAACCCTAGTTGNTTTTCCCTCTTTCCCTGCACCACCCCCTAACCTCCACTGTTCACAGTCACCACCATAAACCATCTCTCTCTTTTTCTCTCTCTGTATATAGTCTCCCACACCTCCCACCTCCTCTCAATCTCGTTTTGCATCCCACACACAGTCGTTTTAGGAGGAGGCACCACCACCGGCCCTCCATGACTCACAGTAGAATTCTCCTAACACTCGAAAAACAAATCTTGATAGTGCACAAAAGTGAATTTATGCGTCACATGTCGAGTAATTAATACATGTAATGAATGCAATAAATATAACAATGAAATCCACATAAGCAACACAGACATAAAGTAGTTCGATCAGGATGATCTACTCTACTTTATAAACAACAACAGTGGCCGATGTTTTTTATTGATGAAGTAGTAGGTGAGAGAGAGAGAGTAAGAGTATGTTCTTTGTAGCTATGAGAAATATAGCTTGTGTTGGGGTGTGTAGAGAAATGCCCTCTCATGTGGAGAGGGTTTACAGTATATACACACAGAGCCTTGGTTGAGGCGGTAACGTGAGGGTAAAGACACTAGTCTTTCGGGAAGAATAGATATAAAAGGTAAGTACAATGAAAGATTGTCTAGATCTTTAAGAGTGGACATCCTGATAATTACTCCCTACGTGCCCTAATCTTCTTGGATTCATTGAGCCTTAGGTTGGGTTGAACCCACGAGCTGGGCTTGAAGGATCCTTTTAGCTAATATAAGTTCATTTAATTTATTGGGCTTAGTCCAGTTGAATCTGGGCTCATCAGATCTGAAGCACAAATGTGATATCGAAGTACAAATATAAAGAAATTTGATCAAATTGAAGCACAAATCGCAGATCGTTGACGAAGCTTACTCAAACAGATCGTAAATCGCATCTCTATGTGTTTATGTATGAGAGAGAGAGAGATCGTGCACTGTGCAGAGGTTGGTGGTGGTGGTGGTGGCTTGGATACGTTTGTGTGGTGGCAATGGTGAACAGAGGTGGTTATTGGTGGTGGTTGATGATAGGTTTGATCTAGGTGATTTGGTGTTGTTTGAAGATGAGTTGGGTCCAGGTGGTGGAGGCGAAGGTGATTTTGAGTGAGTTGTTCTCTCTCTCTCTCTCTCGTTGTGATTGGATTAGGCGATGGTGGAACCGTTGGTGATGGGTGGCAGGAGGAAGAATTTATGTAATTAGATAAATAATAAATAAAAATAAAATTAATATGGGATAATTTAATTGGTAGTTACTAAAATTTTAACTAATTAATTTGATAGATTTGGAAATTAAACATTTAAGGGTTAAAATTTTAATTTACATATGAAATAGATGAGGGGTAAATTTGTAGGGTAAGAAAAATATATATTTAAATTCTTAAACTTAATTTTGGAGGATATTTTTGTTATTCTAAGAATTATTATTAATGACATCAGCTTTGACGGTTAACAATTCTAACGTATGTTAGTTGAATGAGGTATGGCTATTATAAGTTATAAATATTAAGGGAGGTCAATGTTATTTTTAAAATATTAAGGGATGTCCGTATAATAAAATCAAATGTCAAGAGATGTAAGTGATATTTACCCAAAAACTTAAATCGACTCACTGTTTCAACTATCCATATAACATTGCATTATTCTTCTCTTAAAAGACATCTACACAAGTTATTAACCCTAAGAAATAATTCAAGTGATAACTAAAAAGAGCTGTAGACTTAGGCATTTTTAATTCGAATCTTGATAATCTCTTGAGACAAAATCATGAGGGATTATCCCTCATGAATTCCTTAATTCGGTATGGATGACGTGTCTTTAATTCGGAAGATTCCCCAAAAAAAAAAACCCAATAACACCCGACCACGTGGGTTAACCCAGCATTCAGCCAGTATTGGCAATGGCAACAAATCCGTTGAGATCCGACCTGACCATTAAATCAGCCACCCTTCTACACAATAGAATGACCCATTGACCCGACAAATATATTAAACCTTGGTAAATCACCTTGGATGCATTACGTACATGTTTAATATTTTTCAAATTCATTTTTTTTATTTGATCCACCCGACATAAACTATATTACTTTTATTTTTTTAATAATTCATAGCGTCATCCTGCATTCATAATAATCTTATTTTGTTATTCTATGATTCGTCCAACTATTGAACATGTGACCCATCCACCTAATTTTTTTTCCCTAGTTAAATATCATGTGTTTAACTATAGATTCATGTATTAGGCCAAGACTTTAGTCACATAATCCTTCTAAAATCCTAACACCTTGTACTCCGCACACGAATTTGTGCTCTTGTTTTACAAAACTTATGAATTCGACTCATTCTGCTCTTAGTTACTTATATACTTACTTATTATTACTCAAATTTTTATTTGGGAAGTACTAACCCCGACATAAAAATATATATCAAACTATAATAATATTTGTAAATTGTAATTGTCATTTAAAAACTTTATAATCAACATATATTTAAAAATAAAATAGTGTGTCTCATAGTTGTGCATAAAATTTTAATTTTTTATATTTTATTTATATTAAACATTTATGGGTGAATATGGCTATATATATATAATATGACGCTCTCAAAGTACTTTCACTCTCAATTTTTTTTGAATGTTGATGTTTTTATGCTCTCGTTCTCGCTCCCGTCCTCGATCTATGTGATCCAAGTCAAGACAAGAGGTAAAGCCTTGGTATAAGTTTTCAAGACAGGCACTTATGAAAGTAGAAGAAAATTTTGTGGCACTTTGAAACTTTCAAATTTTGGGAAAAACAATTCCCCCCACCCCCCAACCTCCACCACCCCCAAAACCAACTGGTGTAGTTGATGTTGTGTAGTAGTATTTTGATTATGAGTTCACTTGAGAACACCTAGAAATGGCAAAATAAGCTTGCCTCCGCGTAGGAGCTCTAATTATTGTTGTCATACATAGAAGCATCTGATTTATAATTATGTCTGTTTTTCTAAGCTACCATGGGAATGATGAAGATACATTTGGTCTCCTACTTTCAAATTCTTTTATTTTTCACTATTAGTGGACTATACGCCTAATCTGCCGACTTAATTACTAAAGAAGTAATTCTAATCATAAAAACGATGTCGTGTTGAACAAAATGGCAAGAATCCACTACCAATTTAAGGATCTAATTAATGATAGTTGTTGGATTAAAAATGAATTTCATCTCATACTAAAACTCGCAACTAATTCAATAATTACAATGAATTCAATCCCTAATTAGCTGTTCAAATTAAGTCTTTATAATATTGATCATTATTTATAAGAATTAACTTTAAATGTAATTGTCATCTAGCAAAGTCATTTATAATTAAAAGATGGTAAAATTGTCACCAATTATCATCACAATTCATTTTTTTTTGTTTAACGGTCAAGGATCGTTGGGTCAGTTTATAATTTTATGCACATTTTGACTAATCCTCTCTCTAATCCAATCAAAAACAAATCATCTACACTAACACGAGATGTGAATTTTCATGACCTAATTTCAAAAAATTATCAAAATTCAAACTCGCTGAGACGTAAATTTCCATCGACCTATTCTGTCATCACAGTTCATGAACATAAAAAAGAANGGATCGTTGGGTCAGTTTATAATTTTATGCACATTTTGACTAATCCTCTCTCTAATTCAATCAAAAACAAACCATCTACACTAACACGAGATGTGAATTTTCATGACCTAATTTCAAAAAATTATCAAAATTCAAACTCACGAGACGTAAATTTCCATCGACCTATTCTGTCATCACAGTTCATGAACACAAAAAAGAAAAAAAAACAGTAACTTGTGAGAAGAGAAACTTAGTGGGAGAAGAAGAAGAATGCGCGTGGGCATAAATTCTGATTCATGTTGCTGTCTGGAGAAAGATCTCCAACACACACAAAGATGAACATCATCTTGTATTCATTATGCCTACAATCATTATTCTTGGTTGCCTCACCCGCATGCCCCTCCTCCTCCCCCACTCTCTATCTCTCTCTAGTCTCTCCTACACTCCTCTCATATTCTCCCTCTATACATACTCAACCCCTGTATACTTCATGCCACCACTCACTTGTCTCTCTAACCCTGTACTATTACAACCCACAACCTAGCTCCATATCTTGTTTTCTCTCTCCTTCTCTTTCAAACATTCACATATCACTTCTGTTTGTTTGTATCAGTTGAAAATCAATGGCTATTTCTGGGTTTGAAGGTTTTGAGAAGAGGCTTGAGCTGAACTTCTCCGGCGATGATCCGGTGATCGGAATAGGCCTCCGGCAGCTGGACTTCGAGTCACTGGAGGAAGTACTCCATGCAGTGCAATGCACCGTTGTGTCAGCTGTGGGTAACCAATACTTCGACTCTTACGTACTATCAGAATCAAGTCTCTTTGTGTACCCCACCAAGATCATCATCAAGACATGTGGGACCACCCAACTTTTGAAATCTATCCGTCCATTGATACTCCTTGCATGTGATCATCTGGGTCTCTCTCTATGCGGGTGTAGATACACCAGAGGGAGCTTTATCTTCCCTAAAGCTCAACCCTATCCACATACAAGCTTTAGAGAAGAGGTCATCTTCTTAGAAGAGAACCTTCCAAGCCATGTTTGTTACAGAAAGGCCTCTGTTATGCCTTCAAGCTCGTCCCACCACTTATGGCATGTGTTCTCGGCTTCTGATGAGTCTCACATGGCGGTACAACACAGTCCTGATGATATGTTATTCACCATAGAAGTCTGCATGACGGAGCTTGATCGTGTGCTTGCTAGGAAGTTTTTCCGGCGTCTGGACGACGGAAAAAATGGCGACACTGCCGGAAAAGAGATGACGGAGATAACGGGTATCAATAATATCAATTCAAACGCTACTATCTGTGACTTTGCATTTGATCCATGTGGATATTCAATGAATGGTATTGACGGTGATCGGTACTCCACAATTCATGTAACGCCAGAGGATGGGTTCAGCTACGCCAGCTTTGAATGTGTTGGGTATGTCTACGATGACCATGATGATATAGTCGAGGTTTTGAAGAAGGTGGTTAAAGTTTTCCGGCCGGCGACAATGTCGGTGTCTACAACGTGCATCAGCAGTGAAGTATTGAATCGTGTCACAAAAATGATCCAGCCACAAGGAATGAAATGCCGGAGTTGCACAATGGATGATTTTCCAGCCGCCAGAAGCGTGGCGTTTCAAACGTTTACGAGTCGCCGGAAATAGGGTGGAAGTGGTGGTAGATATGTGGGGTGAAGAGTTAGGGATGAGGGATGGTGTGTGGGTTGATCATGATAATGCACCCCACTTAGGTTTGTCACGCCTAAAGATTTGAGGTTGTGAAGTAGTAGTGGGGGAGTTAAAAAGAAGTGCTCACTTTTCAAGTTATAAATGAACCTTTTTACCTTCTCTTTTCTCTTTCTATTGTAGTTTTCATTTTGTCTTTGTCCTCTTCTAACTTCATTTTCTAGCTCTCCCTCTATGTTCACTTTTAGTTTTGAAGAGAGAAAAAATTTACCCAACGAAGTCTTGCATTCGAATCTAACCATCATCCCAATAACTAAAAACTTTGCACAACATTTATATTACCCATTACCTAACAAATTAAGTTTATAGACAAGTTCGCAATTTAACATCCATCCACATGTTCAATGGCCGAGGGAACATCTTGCATTCGGCAGGCATGTATGCCTCGAGGGCGAAAGATAAGCTGTTCAAGCTCTCAAGTGGGAACCTAATTGGTTTTTTCATTTTATTTAATGGACAAAAGGACTCTAAATATCTCTCTAAATTCAAAAATCTAAGATTTGAATTAATGGCCTTTCATTAATTCCTCCTAAATTAGAGGTATATGAAGAATGACTTTTTAGTTCCTTTCATCCGGTGGTTTGGATATTGTTTTTTCATGTGGAGCCCAATAGATTTGAATTGTGTCCTTAGCCAGTCTCCTTAGTAATGATAACCAGCAGCTTCATAGGCTCAAGCCCACTCTGTTCATCCGAGTGAATTGGAAGAAAAATAAAGGAATTGCAGGGTCTAATCCAATCTAGTGTGGCATAGGCCGCTAAACACGGGATAAAGGGAAATTACTTGACCCTTATCCCTTGTTCGATCGTTAAACCAACCCATGCAAATTAACTCGATTGTTGATGGTGGGATATGGCTCATATCCCCAACAACCGAGATGTACATCGTGCCATTCCAGCCTCTTGGCAATCCTCCATTGGGTCCAGTGCCGGACCAAGTCAATTCATTCACATTACCAAATAAAAGAAAGAACTTCACATAAAGCTTAATAGAACCAAAGGATTGATACATGATGATGAAAATACGTACTTGATATTCCTCCTCCTTGAGTCGACTTGAGTTGAGGTTATCAAATTAAGGGAAGACACGATCTTTTCTCTACTCCGGGTTTGGCTGTTCTCCAAGTATCAATCCTCTCCAACTCTTTCCAATCAAACCACCTACCAATTACAGGATGAGAGGCTCTGTTGAATATAAAACATCCCACCTGAATTTCCAAGGAGACTTACTTAATATATTGAAGAGTCCGATATGATATGTTCCATACTCCGGCCAACTAACCTGTGCCACTGATTTCAATGAAAAAATACATACAAAAAGAATGTCCATTGAAAACACAAATTCTGCCTGTTCATGCCAAAACTGAACCTCAAAAATGGAGATATCTAGCACTACCACTGCATTGTAAATGTAAAGGAAAGAAGTTCATATTAGCAAAAGACTCAACTCTGTCAAATAGTGAATGTCATTAAGGTTGACATTCCATTTTAACTTTTTGAATATCTACGAGTTATCCCAAATACCTGCACAAGTCAATCAAAACGTCTCTTTGTGAAACTTCAACTTAGTATCCTGAGGTGTTAACCAATAAATTCTGTCATTGTAACTACCCTGGTGTTTGTCTAGCTCAAATTGCTCAATACAACTATGCACTTCTACTCTTGAGAAACATCGTATTATAAGCTTTCTTCATAGTTCCATCAACTACTGCCCCAAATTATTTTCCTGTCTATGCAGTATCCGCACTAAAACCAGAGTATTGAAATTACTAAGCAAAAAACAGAAATATCTCCAAGATATCCCTCGGTTGAAACATCAATCGAAAAACATATATATATATATATATATATCTCCAGAAACTTCCATTTCATACAATCACCAATCCTTATCCATCAAGGATAGAGAATTCATCACAGATAAATATCACAATGACCTGATAAACATGAATGCATACCCCAAATTCTCACCACTTCTTATGTGAAAAGATTGACAAAAAAAACTAAACAATTATCATCTGAAAAAAAAATGAAAAATGAAAAATTTAATCATGTAAACAATTAGGCTTATATGATAACATATTTCAACCTTCCAATTCTTTATTTTTTCCGTATTTCAGACTGGAAAAAAGCAAAAAATGTGTACAATAACTCATCATTGCATGAAATTATTGAAGAAATCTCAGTAACTACACCAAAACCAAAACTGCAAAAGTAGATGGTTAAAAAGGTAATGTAATAATTTATGCCTAATTTGCTGCCTCAGCTTATCCCCCACATAATTCTCAATTCCTCTTGTAATTGCTTCTTCTTTCATTGCATGCCTTCAAAGCTTGAACTTCTGTTAGATGTTTAAAACACCAATAAATACATAACTCATATTATTATTTTTACGCAATAGAAATGGCACAAAAACCTATCTTTAGAATGCAGCAGAGAGAGCGAGAGATTTCAAGAAATTTTTCGATCTAAAAAGCAAATGAGCGAATACTTAAGCAAAAAAAAAAGGTAGAATAAAGGCATACCCTTTTGGCAAGACTTCCAACTCCGGTCGGTTTTGACAAGACAATCCTGAAATACATATAGAAAAATTATATCTGGGTTTAGGGTTTTAGAAGCAATCAATCAAGAAAATCAGATCTTTTTGAGTGTACATGTTCATTTACTACATATATGTGCAAATAGATATACCTGTAACGCCAAGTAGACAGAGGAGCACTCTTTGAGCTGCTTGACGGTCTCATCATCTTCGTCAGCGTCGCTTTGGTGAAGTTGAGGTGGTGGTGGTGGTTGCGGCTGCGACGGTTTCGGTGGGTCCATGTTACCTGGGTAAGCGGTCGGTGAAGGTTATTACAATTTGGACTCCATGGCTTTTTCATTAAACTCTCTTAAAAGTAAATTATACTTAAGTCCCTTAAACTATACCTTTTATTTCATATTGTCCTCTATACTACCTACTTTCTCATATTAGACCTTAGACTATCAGCTTAAGTTTTACATTACCCAATCATTGAATTTTATCCCCTTTTTCACCAACAACAACAACTTTTTTTATTATTATTTAATAGTTCAGACTAGTTTATGTGCACTTCAATTAATTTTATCTCCTATACAATCAAATACATGTTATTCTCACCGAAACTAGAGTATTCATGAAAAATAAATCTCTCATAGTCTGGTTTTCAAGGGGTTGTCATGATTTGAATACAGGACATTTCAACAACAACNATTTTATCCCCTTTTTCACCAACAACAACAACTTTTTTTATTATTATTTAATAGTTAGAGGTGTTCAGACTAGTTTATGTGCACTTCAATTAATTTTATCTCCTATACAATCAAATACATGTTATTCTCACCGAGATTAAAATATTCATGAGAGATAAATCTCTCATAGTCTGGTTTTCAAGGGGTTGTCATGATTTGAATACAGAACATTTCAACAACAACTACAAGAGATATGTTGTTTTATTATTCAGCTGATAAACAGGTCAACTCAATTTTTCTTAAACTGATCCTTAAAGTGGATAACTCGGGGTGTCTTTGAAGAGTTCAAACCTATTTCATTGTGTAACGTGCTTGNGTCTGGTTTTCAAGGGGTTGTCATGATTTGAATACAGAACATTTCAACAACAGCTACAAGAGATATGTTGTTTTATTATTCAGCTGATAAACAGGTCAACTCAATTTTTCTTAAACTGATCCTTAAAGTGGATAATTCGGGGTGTCTTTGAAGAGTTCAAACCTATTTCATTGTGTAACGTGCTTGTAAAAAAATCTCAAAAATTTTGGCAAATCAGCTTAGTGAAATGCTTGATAAGTTGGAGAGTTCCCATCAGCCAAACTTTCATTAAAAGCAGAAACATAACTGAAAACATTCTTTTGGCTCACAAACTAATCTGTCACTTTCATAGAAACAAAAGAAACTCCTAAGTTTTGAGCCAAGTTAGATATTCACTTAAATCCTAGAAATTTAGGTAAGACGGATTAAAAAATGTATCTCTGTGGTGTCTTTTACAATTTTGACTAATGGATCTCCATCTAACTTCTTTTTTGGGCCATCATGCGACCGCGCGGGGGGAGGGGGGAAGGGCTGCGGTTTGAGACAAGTCACTTAGAGTCTATCTTCTCACCATTAAAACTCCCATTTTGATTTTGATTTATCGTAAAAAGAAACAATATAAAACGACAGATATAGTTTAAGGGGTATAAATACAATTTAATCTAATTTTTATAAAATAATATTATCATGGCTATATATGTTTCCAAACGTATGATTATAACATAAATTCAAGATATATGTATTTTGTGCATAAACTATAACATTATGTTGATTATACACATGGTTATCAAAAAATTATGTACAAGCAACTTTACTTAATTGGGTCCATTTACTTTTCTAAAAACCCACAACTCTGAGGATTAAAAAAAACTCCTTCCAAATTCATTCATTGCTGGGGAAATCACTCTCAATGAAAAATTTCTGTTTTAAACAGAAGTAAAAGGAAACTGAAAAGGCCCTCATTTGGAAAAAAAAAAAAAAGGAACAAAAATGAAGCTGATATTATCCATGAAACGACGGCGTAAAATGGAATAACAGTTGTAACTTATTCTGCACAGAACGACAACGTTTTGCGGCTCTCGTACAAGGTCTTGTCCAAAGTCCTCAATTAAAACCTTTGAGACGGTGGAGCTGTTCGTAGTTACGGCGGTAATCGGCGGCCACTGCCGCTCTCTCTCGTGTATGTGTGTGTGCTCTATATATAATGGATGATGAAAGGGGATTCGAGAGCTATGTGGTGGTACACAACATAGCGAAGAGGCACAACGTGGGCACACTGGCTCGAAGCGCCACTGCCTTCGGCGTCTCCGAGCTCATATTGGTGGGCCGTCGAGATTTCAACGCCTTCGGCAGCCATGGCTCCTCCTCCCATCTCCGCTTCCGCCACTTTCACTCCCTCTCCGACGCCCACCTCTTCCTCAAGGTCCCCTTCTTTCTCTCTCTCTCTCTCTCTCTCTCTCTCTCTCTCTAGGGTTTTAGAATTGAGCAAATGTTATATGGGTACTTTGTAATTTTTTGTTTTTCAGGAAAGGGATTGTGATATATGTGGAGTGGAGATTACGGACAATGCGGCGGCTGTGAATCAGCATCCTTTCAAGAAGAGCACTGCTTTTCTTTTCGGCAATGAGGTAATTTTTTCAAGACTTAGTGATTTTTAAGATGCTAATATCTGACTTTCATGGGGTTTTAAAACTGTGTACTTGCCAATTAATCTTAGAGCTTAGGTGCAACAATCAACTATCAACTAATAGTTGCTTCACTGTTTTTGTTGTATGTGTTTGTATTCCTCAAGTAGCCAACAAAGAAAGATGCTTCAAAATTCTCGCTTAAAGGTGGATTCTTTTGGGTATATTTGCATATATCTATGTCTACCATTCGGTCCATTCCTTGATTAATCTAAAATTTTCTTAAATTTCAGTAAAACCAGCATTAGGAGCTGCTACAAAATTCTACCTTAGAATTGAACTTTTACTATACACATGTATATCTTTGTGAAATATTGCTTGATCAAGTATTGCAGAGTGGCTGACTTTCCGACTATTTGGGTTCATCACCAATAATTGTCGCTGTTTTCACTAAATTGCTTAATTTTGCTGAAGAGAATGTTTTGAATGGGGTTGCAGTAATTAATGGTATGTATGGTTGAGCTATGTTTTGCATTATTTTGTAGGGAACTGGGCTTTCTGCTAAAGAATGTGAGATTTGTGACTTCTTTGTTTATATTCCACAATATGGGTGTGGTACTGCTTCTTTAAATGTAACTGTTGCAGCTTCCATTGTTCTACATCACTTTGGAGGTAATTTGTCTTGACAATAATGAGAGAGCTCTATGATTAATTTGAGCCTGATAGACTGGGCATTACCCGCCTACATCTTTTTCTTCACAATGAAACTGTATAAATTATCTGTAGAAAAATTAAGTGAATACATGGCAAGGCTTTCTGGTTTGTGGGGCTTAAATTTCGTTTGGAGGAATGGACCAATAGTGAGTCATTAAGTCACAAGCCGCTGTTATGACAAGAGGTGCTTTGCACGCATCCTGTGTTGGAGATGCCATTGGTTCTCTTTCCCTTTAGACTGACCAGGACGCCCATCTTCCCTTCCATGTGGCTAAGTACTAGCGATCCTCTTGGTTTGTCCCAAACTCTGACTACCAAGCCAAGCATTGTGAAGGTTTCCAATCAATAGGGATTGCATAAGCCCTGCTACCAATGTATTGTAGGGTCTTGTCAAATGTTAGGGTGCTTAATCTTTGGCGTTATCTAGTGGGGACCATGGTTCTGTTACCACAAAGTTTTTGTAGATGGGTCTCTAAGTATTCCTTGGTCATTTCATGATTTCATCCAAGAGGAGGAGCAATTCCTCTAATTCTATATTTTATTTTTTTTTCTTTTTTTTGTGCTCCACCTAATCCACCTACTAAAAATAAAGACTGCCAGAATTCTTAAGTTGTTTTTATCTCACATCTAATTAAAGAGAATAAAAAATTATCTGGTTTCTGAATGCCGAAGGCAGAAATTTTTTTTAGGTTCTAAACAGTGTCTGTATGCATTTAAAAGGTTTTGAATCTTGTTTGGATTCCGGACAAGAGAATTTATGTTCTAGTATACAGCAAGGATATCATTTCGTTTTATGTTGTTTTGTGAGACATCTGTTCTCATGCATAGTGAATCTCTGAATACATGGTCCTCTGTAGTGTGGGCAGGATTCTCTGAGAGAACCCGTGATGGAAACAAGTTTGTTGTGGCTGAAAGACCCGTGAAACAGGTGAAACGAAATTTCTGCACAGAATCAGCAGATTCTATTGCTGAGGAGCGAAAATCCAGGAGGGAAAATGCTACAAATGGATTTTTTGATGAAAGCGAAGAAGGCGATTCACCTTCTAATCTTCTGAATGCAATGTTTGGGGATAAGTGATTGATAATAACTTAATGACATGATATTTGCCCTTGATTCAAGTTTGGCATAGTAAACATGAGAAAGAGCGGGGCTTTCTATTCTAGAGTCCTTGCTTCTGTATATCAGAAGCATACTGAGGAGTTACAGGAGATTACACTCATCATTATGGCAAGTTAACCCATGGAGTCTTATGCAATTACAATGTGGCCGATGGCATTGAAGAGATTTGTGCGAGTTTTGTATGAATCAGCAGTCTCTATGAAAATAATTTACAGGGATCAGTGTTTTCAGTTTTCTCCAGTCTGACAAATTATAGGGGTGTAATTGGTGATTTTATGCTTTTCTTTTGACAATTTACTTGGAGAATGTTTTACGGGTCAGTCTAAAACATCCCTCTGTGTGTGTGTGTGTGTGTGTGTGGAAAGACTTTTAGGGATTTCTACCCGAAGTCGTTGGATGGGGAAATGTGGGGTTGTTCTTATACTTCAATCTCACTAATGGCTTAAAACCTCTTTCTAGATCTCGTCTTTTAGACAAATCAAAGTTGTATTGGAAGATCAATCTATTTTTCAGCTTATTTCATCCTTTCTGACATTGCCTGTTTTGGAGTGTGTGTGTGTGTGTGTGTGTGTGTGTGTGTGTGGTGCTTAGTTTGAACATTTGGCATGGTTCGGATGTGAGAAGGATTTTTCCTATATGGCAAAAGCTGTCTTATTTTCTACGTTTTATTGTTTCATCATTGCCTCATCACAGCCTCACCTTACATATGCCTTCTAATTATTCATAACTGCTCTCTTCTTCATTTCCCTATCCCCCTCCCCCACATCTTTTGACACTTGGGTTTTCAAATGTTAACCTTGAGGAACCCAGCACCAACAACATCCAAAGGACTTTAAAGAGACAGAAAGTTAGTCGCTGGGCCAAATCTCAAGGGCCCAAGAGTCTACTCCTATCTAGCATCTACCCCCTAAAGTCAATGAATCAGTCTGTCCTCCAAATAAATGCTGTCAATTAAAATCGGATTCAATTTCGAGAATCAGTTTTTAAGATAAATTTGTCTAACATTTATCTCTTTCAATCTTGTCAAATTATGTCGGGTTCATGTTTGGGAATCGACTTCACTAGAATAGTAGCATAAAACTATTTACGATTTATCTTCTATAAATTTCAATTTTGTTATAGATGAGAGTTTTTTGTATTGGGTACAACATCTTAAAATCCCATGTCAATCAAGCATTAACCAAAAAGAATACTCATATCACTGTTATATGGTCAACACATACTTGATTGAATTTTGAGGCTTCAATTTACCTACTTGAGAAAACTAACAGCTGTGCTTATGTTCAAAGGCACCTTCAGATCACCCACAAAATAATAGAGTTGGAGACTCATAGAAGACTAATTTGTTTTCTTCTTACATATTTTTGTGTTCCTATTGGATGGAAACAAATTTTCAAGCTTTACAGGTGGGAGTTGGTATAGTTTTGTAATCATAAAAAGAAGATCAACAATATTGCTCCATTGTCAACCTCCACCTCAGTAATTGGAGCAGTTGGATATGTTTTTGTCTCTATAACTACTTTTTTTCTGTCTTTATTTCCCCTAGGAATCCTACCTCTCCTGGCTTATCTATTTTCATTCTTTAGCAAAGATGAACAGCTTAAAACACATGTTAAATCACATCTTTTCTGAATATCAAGTAGTGAGGCAGTCTTGAAACTTAATGCAGTATAGAAAGGGTTCCAGAAAATCTCTGCAGAAAAACAGTATTCTTCCATGTTGAGTAACCTCAGCAGGAAATTTTGGCGGCTCTGCTCAAGAATCCGGTGGTGGATATGGAGGCGCCCGAGGCCGAAAGTCATCATCAGGAGGTTTGGAAAGCTGAATCCTAAAGGCCAGCAGCCTAGAGAAAAATTGGGCACTAAACCTTCAAGAACTCATCGAAATGGCCTAGTGGATGGTGCTTCTGCACAAAGGCCTATTCGTGTTGCCACATTCAATGCAGCCTTGTTCTCCCTTGCACCAGCAGTCCCAAAGCCTGATCAATCAGTTGTTTTCATTGAAGAAGATGAAGATTATTCGAAATTCCATGGTCTAGTTAAGTCTCCGAATCATTATCCCAAGAGCATACTTAAGCAATCTCCATTACATCCTACAATCAATGGTCTTGATCAAATTCTCCCACAGACTGAGCTCACGAAACCAAAGTTAAAAGTATCGATAAATCTTCCTGATAATGAAATCTCATTAGCACACAATAAGGTTCCTAAAATTGTGGAAGATGACTCAAGCAAGATTATCAGAGCAAATAGAAGCCTAGCTCCAGTGAGGTCCCCATTATGCTTCCCTGCTGGCATGAATAATTCGATGAATGATGGGTGTTGCGTGGGACGTCGAACCATTCTTGATGTGCTTAGAGAGGTGGATGCTGATATTTTGGCTTTACAAGATGTGAAAGCTGAGGAAGAGAAGAACATGAAGGCTTTATCTGATTTGGCTGATGCTTTAGGGATGAATTATGTGTTTGCAGAGAGCTGGGCTCCTGAGTATGGGAATGCCATTTTGTCCAAATGGCCAATTAAGAGGTGGAAAGCTCAGAAAATTTTTGATGACAAGGATTTCAGGTGTGTCTTCTTCCCCTCTGATTGACTCAAAATAATCACTTAGAAAGCTCAATCAGCCATGGATATTGTCTTGTTTGCTTGGGAAAAAAAAGTCCTAATGCATGTGTCCTAAGTCTCTCGTCTTGTTCAACTACTTCTATCTAACATTTCATGTGTATTGCTCGATATAATTCCAACGCTCTGACCGATATGTATTAATGCTCATCTGAGTCGATGGGCTAGACTACGAACTTGAACTATGAATCCGAAGCAACAAGCTAAATATCTTACCACTTAGTCTGATGGTGAATGCAGGAATGTGTTGAAGGCTACTATTGATGTGCCATGGGCAGGGGAAATCAACTTCTACTGCACCCAACTAGACCATCTAGATGAGAATTGGAGGATGAAGCAGATTAATGCAATAATCCAATCAACTGATCATCCCCACATCTTGGCAGGAGGTCTCAATTCTCTTGATGGATCAGATTACTCATCAGAGAGATGGACAGAGATAGTGAGGGTAAAATTTTTATAGTGTGAATTAATCCAGTATAAAAATTTACCATTGTTCTGATATGACAACACTATCACTGCAGTATTTTGAGGAGATAGGAAAGCCAACACCAAAAGTTGAACTCATGAACTTCTTGAAGGGAAAAGAGTACACAGATGCAAAAAACTTTGCTGGCGAATTCGAGCCAGTGGTGATCATTGCCAAAGGCCAAAGTACAATACTTTATCACTATGAAGGATCTAAATTGCGTTTTATTGCATAGTTTTAGTTGGATTGGAAACAGAAACGTTTGGGAAATATTCTAAAAACAGAGCTACATGTACTAATTATTGTTTTCGAAAACAGATGTGCAGGGGACATGCAAGTATGGTACAAGAGTAGATTACATTCTGGCTTCATCAGATTCTCCATACAAGTTCATTCCTGGATCATACTCAGTAATTTCATCCAAAGGCACTTCTGACCACCACATTGTTAAGGCTGATATAGTGAAAATTCCGGCCAGCAGACGACGGAATGTCAGCAGACAGAAGAAACTGAAACAGAAGGTTATAAGGATAACTAACTCTCTTTCTTCAAGAGGGATATGGCAGATTCCCACCTGAATTTTATTTTATTTTTTTGATTTCAGAAATGAAACTCTTCTTTTTTTTTCATAATTGAGATGTATAAGATGTAACAGTGCTCTATATAAACAAATATATGTGAAAATACTATCGTTTTTTTACATAGAAGAATGATTTTTTTTATTTTTTTTGGGTTCAATGGATAGAAATATCTGATTTTATGTTTTGTTGTTAGGCTTCTATCTTTATGATCACAGACCACAAGGGTCACTTGCAAGCATTTTGCCCATCCTCTGGTTGATTGCCTAACTTAAAGCTAGCTGATAAATCCTAGTTGGTGTCTCTTTACTTATTTTTCTAACAACCCCTTTTCACTGATTTTGACCACCTTGAAATGTTAAATAGTAGTATAAAGTACATAGCTAGGATGATCTGGATCCCTAATTTTGACTTTTGAGATGGTTAGGTTTGTTAGTTATGCCAATCCCAATTTTGTTTGTCGGTAAGAGTTCAAGAAATTCATATACTATGTATGTGACAGGAAGGTTCTAACTTTTAATAAGTAAACGAATTAATTATTTTGAGGTTTCAAATTCGAGTTTTTCTAAGAAAAATTTTGAATTATTCACAGTGTAGTGTTCTGAAAGTTTGTTTTGGGTTCAACGGTCAGAGGTGTCTAAACTAGCTTATATATATTTCGATTAATCCCTTTTATAGTCTCCCCAAAGATAAGATATTGACGCCGAAATTTGGGTATTGTACATTGTCATTGTGGAACACAAGTGTGAAATGGGTGTTTGTGAAAAATGAGAAAGCTAATGTCAATAGATTTCGTTAGTCAACAACCATTGCGTTGTAAAGGTTACTCGGTGAAAGATAAACCCAAACTGAAAGGGGGCCAATATAATTTTAGAAACTATGAGGCTATCATCTATAATTTCATTAAACCATAAAGGAGTGTTGGTGTAATTTTTCCATAATACAAATGTATGAACAAAAGAAAAAAAAATTGATTACACTCATTGGCCTCACTAGTGGATTAACACTCAATTNTTTAGAAACTATGAGGCTATCATCTATAATTTCATTAAACCATAAAGGAGTGTTGGTGTAATTTTTCCATAATACAAATGTATGAACAAAAGTAAAAAAAATTGCTTACACTCATTGCCCTCACTACTAGTGGATTAACACTCAAATACTGATTTAGAATTGACTTCCCCAAAACTCTTTTAGCTTCATCTATTATATAAATGACAAAATAAAATGTGTATTTACTTCACAACTACAGTTTCATTCTCTATTTTTCATTTACCAGTAAAGGTATTCAGGTTAGCTTATACACATTTCGATTAATCCTCTTTTCGGTCTGTTTAAAGACAGGTCATCCACACCGAAATTGGTATATTCATGAAAAATAAATCTCTCATAACTTGACCNATTTTTCATTTACCAGTAAAGGGATTCAGGTTAGCTTATACACATTTCGATTAATCATCTTTTCGGTCTGTTTAAAGACAGGTCATCCACACCGAAATTAGTATATTCATGAAAGATAAATTTCTCATAACCTGATCCTAAAAATTACTAAGAAATTTGTTATGTTGCTATTACCATTTCAATATGCTTAATATCATTACAAAGTTCTATAAGAAAATGGACTTTTTAAGGGTCCGTTTTCCTGCCCAAATTTTCTAATTACGACTAATTAGATTCCATAGACGAATATGTTATGATGGAATCTTGTGCTGACTACTTCCTCAAGCTTGACTATTAATCATCGTAATCCGAGCAAGTTTAATACATGTGTCTAATCTTAACAAGTACGAGAAGTGTTGAATCTAAAATTATTGAATTATCAGATGCCAAATTTAGCCACTGAACCGCCACCATGAGTTCAACTATGTTGGAACCCACAGANTGCCCAAATTTTCTAATTACGACTAATTAGATTCCATAGACGAATATGTTATGATGAAATCTTGCGCTGATTATTTCCTCAAGCTTGACTATTGATCATCGTAATCCGAGCAAGTTTAATACATGTGTCTAATCTTAACAAATACGAGAAGTGTTGAATCTAAAATTGCTGAATTATCAGATGCCAAATTTAGCCACTGAACCGCCACCATGAGTTCAACTATGTTGGAACCCACAGATAACCATAATTTTCTGAATTCTAACATTTTACCCATTGGAAAGAGAGACTTCATGAACTTCAAATAATTTACTTATTCCACAATAGCAAACTCATTACATAATTCAAGAGGCCAAGCATCATGCTTCCCTCTTCTTCTTTACATACACTGTACAAACTCGGAGAATAAGAGAACTGAGTCTCTCATTCAACCGATTCGTATAGAAATTGTATATATATTACTCAACATGGCGTTGTCTCAATTATTTGGAGTCGGCTAAGACTTATATATAAATACGTATACGTATTTGTTTATGTGCTTAGCTTGGTGTGCTCATATGGGTATGAACCTGCAAACTAAGGCTCCTGTGAACCTGAACTCTTGCTTGAAGGATAGCCTATACCATTGCGCTTGTTAGGGAACATGACAAAGACTGTGCTTGAAATTGCACCAACAGCAGGAGGCAATGCCATTAACAAAACCTTTTGAGAGGACTCAAAACCAGGATAAAAGCACTCCACAGTGTTGCTATCCAAAAGAGCCACCACTCCAAACACCATCAGAGAAAAGATAGCATGAATAAAGTCCCCAAATCCAAGCTTATACGACGATAAATCCTCTGATCCAGAGGATGGCCAAAGACCCTTCATGGTGGCAATGGCATAGTGAGTGTTCCCATCACTGTCTGTGTAACTGTCTGTGAAAGAAGAGAGGAAACAGGAGAGACCTGAGACGCCGATGAGTACACTGGATAAGTACTTGTTGATGGTGTGGCATTGGCCATTGTTGGTTAACAATGGGCTGAGGAACTGAAACAAGAAGACAGTTCCTGTGGGAAGAAGCCTTATGAGATTACCTACGCCAGTGAATGTTCTGTCCTTCATGCTTGAGCCAGAACTTGAAGAGTTGCTAGAGTTGGCCATTGTTGGTGTGTTTAGGCTTTTTGATAATTCTCTGGTGGTTTTGTTTTGTAATGAGGGTACTGCGACAAGTTCATTGTATTTATAGAGAGAGGGAGAGAGAGAATTGCTTCTACGGAAACTTGGAGTGAGATTGGATTATAAGTAGAAATGTTTAGCTTTTACTCTTCGGAAGGTGGAATAACTTGTAAGCTTCAAGGCTTGAGGAAGGTGGCAATTAATGCTGTGACATGACACCTGAGGACTTATTCGTTATCTACACCACATATTGACGCAGCTTAATTACTAATCCAATCCTATGGGCAGTAATTGGCACGAGTGTAAATTCTCTTTTTTTAGATAAAAAAGAACTATTCGAATCACGTACTTTTAGATTTCTATTACGGAATTCTTAAAACATTCACAATCATTTGTAAATCATACACGTTCTATAAACTAATATTCTCCTTACAAAGTAGGGTATCAAAAACTAGTACCAAGTGATACCTTCTCATTTGGATCTCATCCGAACTATCTTGATCAGTTTGAATACGAAGGTTTGATCCCTATTAATTGTGCATCTTCTTGTGATATTGCCTTGTGTCATATTTTTTTAGAAATTCTATTTAGACTTAAAATGTGGACATAATTTGTTGACTTGATCAATCATGACTATTGAATAGATAGTGAACTCCACGATATATATTGGGACTCATATTGATTAAGTCAACAAATCAAGAGTTGAGTTTTGGGTGCGAGTATTGTTTGGTGGATTGGTCTGGTGGCTTAGCCAGTTCACCAGTAGGCATTAACAAATAATCAAACAGGTGGTGTGCTTATAGTGCTATAGGTAAGGTAAGTAGAAAAGGGGAGAAAGAAGGATAGTAAAGGGAGAAAGAAGTTGGGGGGGGGGGGGGGGG